CCACCCAGAGGTGCTAGCCCAACGCTAGCTGTAGATTCTTTCCTTTTATCACGGAAGAAAGGTTATTCAGCACTGGTGAGGCTGAGTCCTCAGAGAACGTTCTGAAATGCTTGAGTCCCATACGGTGAATATGTTGAGGTGGTGAGTCCCAGGTCACTGTGGATATTTAAGCAGAGGCCAGATGACAACCAGCTCAGGGAGGCCATGAGAAGGACTCCACACAGCAGGAATTTGGTCTAACTGACGTCTACTGTCTTAACGCCACAATTCCACGGGCTTCTGTGAGCCTCTCAATGCTCACACTCCCCAGAGTCCCTTCCAAGAAGGCTGTGACAAGCAGAGAACATTCACCCTGCCGTGGGTGGCTCAGGACCTCCCAACCCCAGGAGCCCAAAGGGTGACCAACACCGATTAGACATCGACCTCCACCACCGATCACCACCTGGTGTGGGTGTATCTCCAACTGCTTTTCCCCTCCCCATTCCCAATCCTCATTAACCCGAAAGACAAACTACAGCAGTGCACAGTCTCACACTGATGCTCAATCTGTCTTTTCCAGCATCCTCTATTTATCAGACAGCTTCCACCAAGTGAACCATGACTCCTCAGTCTTTGCCCCAAGTGCACCTTCACTAGGCAGGGCTCAAGTTTGAGAAACAGCTGGAAGATAACAGAGAAAGGTTGGTGGCCACGCATGTTTAGATACATTCACAGACAAGAGCCAGGGCACAGACGGCACTGGGGCTATTGATCCTGTCTGGTGGGAGAAAACAGAAATGTCTTCTTCCTGGCTGACAAAACACTTGCACAGCAGTACAGCAACAGAAACAGAGGCAAATATTCTGTGACTCTGGCTTCAGAACAAGCCCGAACAATCTCAACAGTGGATGTGCATGTTTTCCTCAAACGATCCAAATGCATCTCCTGGTATCTGCTATAATTAAAACAGAATTGGAGCTATTCATACATATATAACTTTTCTTTTTTTTGAGACAGAGTTTTGCTCGTTTCCCAGGCTGGAGTGCAGTGGGGTGATCTCGGCTCACTGCAACCTCCGCCTCCCGGGTTCAAGCGATTCTCCTGTCTCAGCCTCCTTAGAGTAGCTGGGATTACAGGCATGCGCTACTACGCTTGGCTAATTTTGTATTTTTATAGAGACAGGGCTTCTCCATGTTGCTCAGGCTAGTCCTGAACTCCCGACCTCAGGTGATCTACCCACCTCGGCCTCCCAAAGTGCTGGGATTACAGGCATGAGCCACCGCGCCCGGCGTATCTAACTTTTTACAGAAGAATAGAGTCCTGTATCACCTTCTGTTTTTTTTTTTTTTTTTTTGAAAGCATATATGATTTTCACATACAATACGTGCTTGTAGGAGCCTCATCCTTTTGCCTCTACATCTTATGTTCTAGATTTTTTCTCACTATGTCTAGTACATTAAATGCTACTCAACTCCCATGGAATAAAAATGCACACGGAAGTGGCTTTCTGTCCATTACCATGTGGCAGAATTCTATCAAAAATCAAAGAATGTGGGGTCTGGAAGGGACCTCACATAGTCACCTAGTTACCTCAATTACCTATGGAAATTGAGACCACGGATGCTCAGAGATGTTCCTGAGATTTAGCTGAAACTACGTAGAAATGGACTTTCTATAGTGATAGGAATTCTATCTAAATTTCTAACGTCTACATTTCGATTTCTCATTTATTATAGCAAACTTTCTACCTTAATGGGTGAAGCATTTGCCTGGTTACTTTTGCAGAACAACCACTTCAGAAAAGTGTTTGGCACTTTCTTACCAAGTTAATATATACCTATTCTATGACCCAGCGATTTGGCTTCTGGGAAGAAAACGGACATCCATAAATGAATGTGGCAGCAGCTGTATTCCTAACAGCCTCCAACTGGAAATAAGAGTCACACCCAATAATACGCAAGTGACTACACAAATCGTGGTGTATATATATACACGTGTGTGTGTGTGTGTGTGTGTGTGTGTGTGTGTGTGTGTGCGCGCACGATGGAATATTGGCCACTTTTGCCAACATCCAGGCCAAATTCTCCTGATGCAGCAATGAGAAGAGAAAGTTCAATTTTCTTGGATTATCACCTCTTGAATTATCTTTCTACCTCTCTTCTTTGGTTCATTCTCCATCCCTCTGCTAGGCAGCTATTTCATATCCTTTTCTCTCTCTGCTCTTGTTGGGTTGGAGTGCAGTGGTGCGATCTCGGTTCACTGCAACCTCTGACTTCCGGGTTCAAGCGATTCTCCTGCCTCAGCCTCCCGAGTAGCTAGGATTACAGGCATGTGCACCACGCTCAGCTAATTTTGTATTTTTAGTAGAGATAGGGTTTCTCTACTAAAACTCTATAATATGATAATATTTTCTCCTCCATCCTCCCTCTCAGCCAGCTGATAACCCTGCTTCCTATTTCACTGAGAAAACTGAAACACTCCAAAGAGAACTTCTATCCGGTTCCCGCACTAGCTTACCAGCCTACCATCTGGTACTATACACTCTGCCTTTTCCCCTGTCGCTGGGACTCTGGCCAAGCCCAGCCACTCCACTGGCATTCAAGATCCGAGTCCCTTTTCCCTGCACAATGATACTGCCCCAGCAACTGGCCCTGTCTCCTGCATCATTTTCCCCACTCTGCTAGCCACCTGCATTAACAAAAGACAGACTGTACTACTGCCCGTCTTAAAAACACCATTCTTAACCCACCATCCTCTTCCAGCAATTGCAGTTTCTTTGCCTTCACTTGGAATAAATGCTTCAAGGACTTACCCATGTTGTACCCACGGTGGCTAAACTTCCAGCCCCCATTATGTTACCAAAGTAAGCTCCTGACCTTGCTAAAACCTCTGCATCCTCAACTCCAGAGGCAACTTCTCCCTCTTAGGTTACTCCAGTCACTAACAATAGTGAGCAAAGAAAACAACATTCACCTTGTGGAGACACTCAACTCCCTTGTTTCCGGGACGCGGCGCCCGCTTGCTTTTCTTGCTAACTAGCTGCTCCTTCTCAGCGTCCTGTGCTAGTCTCTCCTCCTATTGCTGGAGCCTCCGGGATCGGCGTATGAAGTTCTCTTTTTATACTCACTCACTGAATGATCTCTTCCAGACTCATGACTATCAACCAACAACACATCTCTCTCCAGCCAAGATCTCCATCCTGCCTCCAGATGCCCAGAGCCACCTGCCTACTGAGTATCTCCACTTAGAGATCTGGAGGCAGCTCACCTTTAACTATCCCCAAACTGCCCCCTCCTTCAAATCTGTTCCACTCTGAGTAGTGCCCCATCTTAGTAATGCCAACATCATTCTTCAAGTTGCTCAGCTAAAATGTAAAGTCAGCCCTGACTCTTCTCTTTCTCTTCCATCCTACATCCAATTCTTTGCCAAGCTCTGCCAGCCTCTCCCCCTTTGAATAAATGCCTAGCACTGTACGACTTCTCCTCTCATCTATGGTTGCCACTTTGGGCCACGCCACCTTCAGTTCTTGCCTGGATGATTGCAACTGCCTCCTGTTTTCTCTGCTTCCCTTTTTACCTCCTTATAGCAGTGATCCTTTTTAAAAGATTCCTCTGATCTTGTCATTCTTTTGCTTAAAACACACCAATGCTTTCTGGTCTCCTTGTGAACAAAGGCCAAACTCCTTAAAATGGTGCAAGAGGCCTCCTGTGTGATCTGTCCTCTAGCTCTTCTGTGTGAGCCTGCTCCTCCCTGGGTGGGTGCATGTGCCAGTCCCACTGTCTGAAACATTCTTTCTCTAAATTTCTGCACATCCTTCAGGTCTCTGAGGTCTTCTTGGATCACTGTAAGGGTGCAGTCGCCTCCCCCGCATCTCCTGCCTCTCACATTCTTATCCCCCACCATCGGACACAATCCACAGCCATCTATTCACTCTCTCCCCACTACAGTCCAAACTGCATAAGGAAGGGGTTGTACATTTTATTCCCTTTTGTAAGAAACAAGCGCTGTAAGTATTGGCTGAATAAATAAATGAATAATAAAAGAACTGCTATGCTTCTATTGAGTGGAACATGTGCGTTTTTTTCCCTGCAACCAAAGCATTACAGACAAGTTACTTTTTCTTCTTTTTTGGGGACAGAGTCTCACTCTTGTTGCTCAGGCTGGAGTGCAATGGCGCAATCTCGGCTCACTGCAACCTCCGCCTGCTGGATTCAAGCGATTCTCCTGCGTCAGCCTCCTGAGTAGCTGGGACTACAGGTGTGTGCCACCATGCCTGACTAACCAGCTAATTTTTTTTTTTTTTTTTTTTTTCATTTTAAGTAGAGATGGGATTTCACCATATTGGACAGGCTGGTCTTGAACTCCTGACCTGGTGATCCACTGCCTCAGCCTCCCAAAGTGCTGTGATTACAGGTGTGAGCCACTGCGCCCAGTCTGACAAACTCCATTATGAACAAAGTAGGTGGCTGAGGCCACTGCTTTAGAGCTCTATATTCTCCAAGCAACCATAAGCAGTTTCAGTGGCACCAAATCAAACCATGAAGAAATTCAATCTTGCCTCCACATGAAATAAAAATAGAACCTTTATGTTATCCAGAGTTATTTGTTAACTCAGTAAACGTTCATGAATATGCCACTGTGAGTGTAAACTAGAAAGAAAGACAGGAGGAATGTTGGAGCCTGAAGAGGGTTTACGCAGGACATACCATCGACCAACCTGTGCATCGGGGAATTTGCAGTGAACCTCGCTCACCCAGCCTGACTCCCTGTTTTTTGTTTGTTTGTTTGTTTTTTTGAGACGGAGTCTTGCTCTGTCGCCCAGGCTCCCAGGCTGGAGTGCAGTGGTGCGATCTCAGCTCACTGCAACCTCTGCCACCTGGGTTCAAGCAATTCTCCTGCCTTAGTCTCCCGAGTAGCTAGGATTACAGGTGCCCTCCACCACACCTGACTAATTGTTGTATTTTTTAGTCGAGACGGCATTTCAGCATCTTGGCCAGGCTGGTCTTGAACTCCTGACCTTGTGATCTACCTGTCTCTGCCTCCCAAAGTGCTGGGATTATAGGCATGAGCCACTGCGTCTGGCTGTTTGGTTCTCTTAATACACCTTAGACAATTCTGGAAAAGCAGAGTGTGGAAAACAGAGGGAACACACAGATAATGATAGGTCCCCATTATAAAGAGAAGCCATTCTAGGCCTTAAAGTAAGAGTATTTAGATGACTGCATAAACATGACTAGTAAAGCCACTTAAAATGAGAACTCAGACCAAGTGTCAACTAATGGCAATTTTCTGCAATTAGGAATATGGATCCTCAAAAAAAGTGATTTCCTAGCAGAGAGGAGAGTTGGATAGGAAGAAAAAAGGAACACAAATAACAGTACCCGGATCTCTAGACTATCAACAATTAAAGGATCGACACATCATTTCTTTCACACTGTTTCCGAAAATATCAAAGGAGGAAAAAACCATCGTCTCTTGCATTTTTATGGTCCTTTCTAGCTTGTAAATCATCTGAACATACATTATCTTTTCTACCCTGATAAAATTTGTGTGGTAGAAGAGTGCAGCTCCGTACTTTTTCATGTATTTTGACTTAGATTTATATATTTTATAGACAAAGAACTGGAAGTTAAGCTACTCTTCCAGAAAGGGTTCCACGGTCAATTAAGTTTGGGAAATGCTGCAAGCTGGTCGGCTCCCTGGACACTCATGATGTACAACAGCATATCAGAGAACAGTCTCACCAAGGTTTCCAAGCTCACTGGAACATAACACCTTTTTTTTCATGTGTGTGTACAACATTGTAACAACTTTGGCTTTTATGCAGATTATCCCCGCCTAAGGATTCTCCAGTATCACACATTGTGGCCTCAAAAGACTTTGCAGAACTGAAAGCCCAGTGGGTTTATAAGTTTAAAAAAATCCTTCAAAAAATGACAAGTATAAACTAGCACGCATCTGCTGTAAAGTACTCAATCACCGACTGTTAGTTTCTTTGCTTCTGCACAAGGACAGGGGCCCTGAGGTGTCCTCACAGGGCGCTCTCTGAGAGGTTCGTTCTGGATGAGATGAGACTGTGTTCTCGAAGATGGTAATGGATGCCCAGAGGCTAGGATATACAGAGGCTTTGCAAACCCTAAGCTAAACCATGACACACATGCCATTAAAATACACACAGCTCAATCCAGTCCATAGCACAGCTTCTGACATGCGAGGAAGCCTGGAGGGAATGGGGGGTGCCCGGGGGAGGGCAGCGCTAGACGAGAAAATTCCACAATAGAGCATTAACTCAAACGCCTTATGGTTTTCACAACTTAAAGAATGGATGTAGACTTCAGAGGATAACTCATGCTTATTAAATATGTGTGAAATTACTGTGATTCATCTTCCTCCTCTGTTTTAAATGACTTTGTAAAACCCAGACTTGGCATCCACAGAAATAACATAATGCAGTATAAAATGATCCCATTATTATAAGTATCCTTTAATGCAAAACAATCTCGGACAGTTACTTGGTTGTGATCCTGAAGGACTTCCTTCCTGTTGACGAGTAGTAATGTATGGGATAAATTATTTCTTGGATATCATGTAAATGGAACTTCTGAACTCATTACGGATAAATTATTAAGTTATAAAACACCATTGCTAATAAAACTGAGGCTACAGTGAGAAGTGTGATTAAAATCGCACGTGACTCTGACCTATTAAACAATAACGTATTAATCCATAAAACTGTAAACAGCTTATCCCCTTTCTATAATTAAAATATGCTTCACTACTAATTGCCTTAGCAATCCTTAAATTTCCCTGAAACTTCAAATGATGGCAAAACAGCATCGCTTACTATTATATCTTCTAATACTGGTGAACTAAGAAAACCCTTGTAATAAAGAACTTTTTGTCTCTGTTCTAAGGCAATCCTATTGATTAGCGTTAAATTTATAGCTGGCAAAATATTTTGGTAAAATTCATGTGGGTTTAAGGGTAGATAAAAATCTATGCACGGAACTGGAGGGGAATAACAATGTTTCACATATTTCTGCCAACATATTAACTAATACAGCAAAAAGGATCCTTGATATGTCAGTTGTTGACTGATGAGAGCGCAGAGCTGAGACTCAGGCATGAAATTTTATTGCCAAAGACATTTTCATCTGCAGCCAAATCACCAGGGAAACACTTTGTCAAACAACTTCATTCTGCATGGAGACTCTGTGACAATATTGGCATCCTAAGAATTTGTTCGGGTTTTTCTGATTGCATCTATCTGTCTGTGCCGGGAAATATTTACAGCAACACCGCAATTCATGCGGACATTTGGTTTAGCATCTAGAAACAACCTAGCCAGCTCATGTTTTATCTCACCAGCGAGTTTCAAATAAATGCTCAGAAGTTGTATGCTTTTTAATATAAATGAGACAATATATTTCCGCAAGGTTTCCTATCAAACTTCCGTTTCATATTGGTGGGAACTGATCTAGCAGCGGGTATCCACAAAGTTATGGGGCAAAGTTGACAAAGTTTCTTTAGAAGTACCCAATCTTTCTGCCTGAGTTAAACCCAGAAAATTAGAAATATTGGAAATTAGAACAATTAGAAATTTTAGTAGAAAAATTTAGAACAATTAGAAATTTTAAATCAGAAAAAATTAAAAAAATATATGTAAAGCATCATGCTCATTCTTTAAATTACAAGCCAAAACAAAAACTTACCACTGCTTATAATTAAAATGTTACTTTTAAGAGGTAAAATGACAAGAAGACAGGGGAAAAGGGATGAAAAGGAGAAAGAAGGAAGAAGAGGGAGAGAAAGGATAAATGCTGGACTGTGATCATTTTGAACTGCATTTTAAATTTTAGATCCTGTATTTATTTTGCCTGTGGTGCGGGCATAACCCCAAAAACAACCCTTGACATTTCACACCTCCTCCTATCCAATCATCACTTAGGTGCTGCCAAATTCTCAACCCCATGTAACTTTGTTAACCTCTTCATCATCCCTCTGGTCTGAGTTACCACTGTCTCTCATCTGGCTCCTGAAATAGCCTAGCCACTGGTCTCTCCACTCCATTCTATACACAGAGTCTAAAGCAATCTTTTCAAAAAGTCAATCTGATCACACCCCTGCCCTTTCACATTTGCTACTAGAGGATCAAAATCCTGAACCTGGACTACCCGGACTGGAATAAGGAAGCCCGTGCTTGCATTCTGACCTTCCCTGGGACCACTGGTGACTACTCCAAGCATAGTCAATGCATAGTCAAGCAGAGTAGAGGCCTTGCCCTTCGCTGCCACAGGGCCTTCATGTGTGTGCTTTTCTCCACCGGGACCGCCTCCAGCCTCACACCTCGATGGTACCTGCCTTCTCATTCCTTCATCTGCTTAGTTCCTGCCACCTTTCAGGGGTTCAGTTGGCTGCTGAGTCCCCTGTTAGAAGCTCTCATAACACAGCCTAAATCACCATGCTTTGAGCTTACATCTATCTGTGAAGCTTCCTGATGAAGGTGTGTCTATCCTACCAGACCGTACAGTGACATACACACAGAGCACACCTGTCCTCAGGCACTGCTGAGTCCCTTAGCCGAGGGCCTGTCATAAACATGAAACAGGCTCTCAGGCAGTGCTGCTGACTCAAAGAATGGAGCTGAACAATGGGTCCTCCCACAGCGTTAATTTTAGGCAAGAAAGCTTGTAGTATCATTCCCATCAAGGCCACCATTAAAGTCGGGCTCTACATCAGGAAAAATAGCTAATGCCTGCTGGGCTTAATACTTAGGTTATGGGTTGACAGGTGCAGCAAACCACCATGGCACACGTTGACCTGTGTAACAAACCTGCACACGTTTACCTATGCAACTACCCTGCATGTCCTGCCCATGTACCCAGGAACTGAAAATAAACACTCAGGTTCTAGGATTGCAAATGGAATCTCCTGATAACCCTACCTTTCACCAGCTAATTAGTTATGTTATCAGGTTGTTTGTTTCCTCAAAGCAGATTGAAGAATTTAAAAAGGTTCACCCTGTTCAACATGGTGAAATCCCATCGCTACTAAAAATATAAAAGATTAGCTGGGCATGGTGGCTCACGCCTATAATCCCAGTACTTTGGGAGGCTGCGGTGGGCTGATCACCTGAGGTCACGAGTTCAAGACCAGCCTAGCCAACATGGTGAAACCCTGTCTCTACTCAAAATTCAGAGAAGTTAGCTGGGCATAGTGGTGGCCCCTGTAGTCCCAGCTACTCGGAAAGCTGAGGCACAAGAATCACTGGAATGCGGGAGGTGGAGGTTGTAGTGAGCCAAGATGGCGTCACTGTACTCCAGCCTGGGCGACAGAGTCAGACTCTGTCTCAAAAAATTAATAAATAAATATGTGTGTATACATATGCATATGTATATGAATGATTAACTGGACATGGTGGTAGGTGCCTGTAGTCCCAGCTATTCGGGAGGCCGAGGCAGGAGACTCGCTTGAACCCGGAGGCAGAGGTCCACACCACTACACTCCAGCCTAGGCAACAAAGCAAGACTTTATCTCAAAAAAAAAAAAATTAAAATGGTTATTCACACACCCACACTCACACCTGTATATGGAACTGACTGTTGTAAGTACATCTTTATTACAACAAGCACACAGCCAGGGCTTGGGTGGGCTCATGAATGAACCTGGCTCTCTCAAACACATGGGCCAGATTTCCATCGCCAACAGCCCCTGCCTTACCAGAATGTGACTTGGAGCCTGAAAGCCTGGATAATTTTAAATTTCAGGAATAGCCACCCAGGGATATCCATCCTGGGTTTTCACATCCAGGAGCAGCCGTGCCCACTTTCACAGGAGACTCACTTCCCATCCAGGCAGCAGAGCAGAAGGCATGGGCTGTGATGTGGAGTTTGGCTCTGAGCAGGGTAAGGCATCAGAAACCTGACCCAAGTGGCAGAGTGGGCAGCAGGCCCAGGACCCTCTGACAAGCTGGCTTCTCAAAGCGTGAAAAGTGTCCCACAGGATTCCTTTTACCTCTGAGAATCTAAGACTCAGCTAACTTTTGTAAACCTGGCATTATAGGTTTATAAAAACATCCTGCTGCTCTTGATTTTTCTTGGATACAGAAACAGAGATGAAATTGACAACAGGCGGCAGTCTGATTTGTCTAATTTTGATTTTCTCTGTCACCTGATGTATCACCTGATGATAGAGAAGAATACTGATATCCACTTTATCTTTAATAACGTCACTAAAAAAACAGTGAGATGAGCTAAGGCAGGCAGGTAGGGAGGAGGAAGAGAGGCAATGGACATGGTAATAAATGTCTGGAAAACCAAACCGGAGAATCCAAAGTTGTAGAAAAATAACACACTGCTCTGTGGAGGCTGGCAGAGGGCACCTTGCAGGCAGAAACTGCGCCAATGCCAGCTTCTCCCGTTGGACTCCGGTGAGCAATAGGAATCTATTACTGGCGATAGATTTTTGAGTCTCTAACCTTTCTTATCAGTGATTGTTCATAGATTGTCAGCTGCATGCTGTGGAAAGAGCCAGTTTCTTTTGTCTTAAGTTTTTTGGTCATTAATGATATCAAGAATGGTATGTTTTCATACGGTAGGTAAACAAAGAAATATCCTTGGTGCTATGTAAAATTACAGCATTGTTCTTAAAATTCAATTTGTAACCTTCTCTTCTAGTCATACAGATAAACATTCTCTAAATGGACCCTGAAATAACAATACATTATGTAAATGCACTAATCTTAAACCCGTTTCCAAAAGACTGACCACCACATCAAACAAAATCCTTGTAGATTCCCTATTTTGAATGTATACATACTTCTTTGCCAGTTTTAACATTTCCGTTATGCATTCCTTTACTTTCTAAAAGTCAGGTTCATTGAGATATAATTTATGTACAGTAAAATTTCACGCTTATTCTTTAAATAACAAGCCAAAACAAAAATATACCAATGCTTACAATTAAAATGTTATTTTAAGAGGTGAAATGGTAACAAGTCCTTTTTGATAAGTGCAAGTGTTTATTGCTTTATTTAGGAGACAACAAAAAATAATCAACATTTTCATAATGAAGGGATTTCTAAAATGGCATGGCTATGCAGAGATATCACCTTGAAGGATAGTTATGACTCTGCACAGAACTAGTTTATTTAAGAATCATAACACAGTCTAAGAACTCACTAATGCCCAGCTATGGGGGTCATACAGATTTGCCTGGACAACTTCCAACACATAAATGACAATTCACAGAAAAGTAAGGCAAAGGTAATCTGTTACTGACACACGAAATACCCTCATTGCCTTAAAAATGATAGCTACCCTTTGCTTTAATGGATTCCTAGTGGATTACTTTGAAGATGTAAAAGTTATCTTCAGTACATAAATAATGCTCACACATTAAAAAATCAGCTAGATTATTAGCTTAGTACTTTGAGGGCAGAAGCTTCATTTATGATAATGAATGCATGACTTAAAATATATAAATTATATATTACATACAAAATTAGGTTAGGATCAAGTATATGTGGAACTCTTGTTACCTTACTCATCCTCCTTCCAAGAATTAAAATGACAAACACCTTCTCTTTCATATCTACTCTCAAGTAACATAAAGTGATCAATATGCAAAACAGCCTATAGCATTATGTCTCCGGGTGCCGCCTTTATTAACTATGTGACCTTGGGAAAGTTAGCTAACTTTTCTGTTCCTCAGTTTCCAAATCTACATAACAGACTTGGAACATGATTCTCTATATGCATACTAACAGGACCTGCCTTAAAGAGTTGCTATGAAGGCTAAATTAGAGAATGCTAGTATATTCAGCCCTTCATATCTGTAAGCCCAGTCAACTCCAAATCAAAGAATATTCAAAGAAAAAACAATGGCTGGTTGCATCTGTACTGAACACATAAGGACTTTTTAAATATATACTTGTCATTATTGTCTAACCGATACAGGGTAACAACTATTTACATAGTATCACATTGGATATTACAAGTAATCTAGAGATGATTCCAAGTATAGGGGAGACGTGCATCGGTTACATGCAAATACACCACCATTTAATTTCAAGGTCTTAAGCATCTGCAGATTTTGGTATTCTAAGGTGGGGAGAGGGTGGGGGGGTCTTAGAATCAATCTCCACGGATACTGAAGGGTGACTATATAGTCCCCAGAGCTGTGTTTGGCACCTGCCAAGCTGTTAATAACAATACGCTGGGGTGATTATTGACAACTCACTACTATACTCCCAAATGAAAATGACTTACCAATGATATAGGAAATTCATGTTTTCCAACTGGGTCATCTCCACAACAGACATGTTTCTCCATACTATGAGGGAAATGAATTTAAACACTCCCCTTTCCTACTAAGTAGACAAAACCATAAGTATGATGATTACAGGTTATATGAATGGCGTTGCCCACGTGCCAGGTACCCGGCTGTGTGTTTTTTCTGTACTATCTTATTCTTCTTCAAAGTAGTCCTTGGATACATGTGCTATTACAAACTTCATGTTACAGAAGGGGAAACTGAACCAAAAGAGACGTTAAAGGACTTGCTCAAGGCCATACAGCTACAAAGTAGTGACTCGGCTGGGCATGGTGGCTTACCCCTATAATCCCAGCACTTTGGGAGGCTGAGGCAAGAAGATCACTAGGTGAGGAGATCGAGACCATCCTGGTCAATATGGTGAAACCTGGTCTCTACTAAAATATAAAAAATTAGCCGACCATGTGGCACGCGCCTGTAGTCCCAGCTGCTTGGGAGGCTGGGGCAGGGGAACTGCTTGGACCCAGGAGGTGGAGGTTGCAGTGAGCTGAGATCGTGCTACCGCACTCCGGCCTGGCGACAGAGCAAGACCCTGTCTCAACAACAACAACAAAAGTAGTGACTCTAGAATCAAAACCAGGCTCTGGATCTCCCATACCTGTGCCATTCACTGTCACACATAGCACAGTGTTCTGATTTTGCCTGCTAAATTGATCTGCAGAAAGAAGAAAAGGAAAAGGAATATTTATGGTGAACAGTAGAGCAATATTCATAGCGGGAGGAAGTAAGAGTGAACGTTTTCTCAATGCTATTAATAACAGTGATTTTATAAGCACACATATGTATTGTGATGGGTTAAATTACATTTCAGAAAACACCCGTACAAATAATTGAGATTTAATTATTTCACGGCATTTCTGCAGTCACCTACTTTTTCATGAAAGCATCCCAGAAAACCCTATATTCCTGATCTAATTTTATCTGTAAGGAAATAAAATCAAGGAATTTGTATGATAATATTTAACAGCTCTGATTTCTCAGCACACTTCTCCATATATCTTAAAGAGGGAACGGAAGCAGTGTTGTTGGAATGGGTCCAGAAGTTTCAAGATACAAATCTATTTTTCCTTAAGCCATTAAATGCCATAACCAATGGGCAAAATCACTTTATATGGCTTTCTAAAACATGTCAGAGTTGCAAATTTCATCAACATAAAGAAGGATCTGGGCTAGCCAAGGTTGGTGAAGGTCACTTCCACTGCCTTGGAGAGTTTTAAAAATGCAGAAGTGTTCATTCGAGGTGAGATTTAGTACCAAAGGTGGTTTGGTTTGCATGTTTCCCAAAAGCTCATCTTTTCCTCCAAATCGTCACAGAAGATATCAGAAAAAGAACGAATCCTAATAACGAAAACCCCTGAAAATCCAAACATTTCACTGGAAAATAAACATTTTCCAAAAGAAAAAAATGTCTTTCATGTATGCAACAGACCTAGGATAGTCACTTCATCTCTCATAAATCAAAGATTACAAGTCACATTTTGGCTGGGTGCAGTGGCTCATGCTGTAAACCCAGCACTTTGGGAGGCTGAGGCAGGTGGGTCATTTGAGTTCAGGAGTTTGAGACCAGCCTGGGCAACAGGGCAAAACCCCTTCTCTACTACAAATATACAAATCTGCCAGGCATGTGGCGCGCGCCTGTAATCCCAACTACTTGGGAGGCTGAAGCAGGAGAACTGCTTGAACTCGGGAGGTAGAGGTTGCAGTCAGGTAAGTCTGACCCACTGCACTCCAGCCTGAGTGACAGGGTGAGACTCCATCACAAAAAACAACAATCAATAAGTCACATTTTGTCTAAAAGGGTTTTCTAAACATATAAATGTGCATTCAGAAACAGAAACCATGACTGCAACAAAAGCAACAGCAAGAAAGCAGTTTCTGGAACCACTGGGCACAGCTCGATTTAGGTATTTTGCGATATCCCACCCCTTCTTAGTGATAGTAGAAAGCGCGTTCCCCACACAGGAGGGCTTCGGTAAAGGAGAAAGACTCCGGGTCAGGAATGCTGTGTTCAGCTGTGGCCTCAAACATCTTAACTGTCAAGAATCAAGACTCACAACAGCCCCTGCTCACTGTCCGTACAGTCAGGAGCCACGATCTTTCATCCTGGTATCATCCTTCTTGGTCCAATGACTGAAACATCATTGTTTACAGATGATCCATCACCTCCTCTCTGACTCTTCTGCCCCTGAAGGAGTCCCTTCTCTCCAGTAGAGCCAAACCCTTCCACCCATGTGTTCCCATTGGTCCCTGCAAACACTTCCATCGTAGATCCCCAAACACTTTATTTCATATATTTAAACTGTTTTTTTCCTTCCTCTTACCCTGTATGTCAATGAGGCAGGGCCCCAAGCTCCTTCCAGCTCCAGGGGTTATTACTACCTGGCACTTGTCAATCAATACTTCTGAATACCAGTCTCAAAGATACTAGGATGGCGAGCAATAGCTTGTAGGACATTGTAACTAATAACATTAAAATATGTGAATAAACACATCAATAAGATGTCCAATATCAAAGCCATTAGGGGAATGCAAATCAAAACCACAGTGAAATATCACATTGGTGCGAAATGGGGCTGGAATCAAAATGCAAATCGGCCGGGCCTGGTGGCTCGAGCCTGGAATCCCAGCACTTTGGGAGGCTGAGGCGGGCGGATCGCCTGAGGTCGGGAGTTTGAGACCAGCCTGACCAACATGCAGAAACCCTGTCTCCACTAAAATTACAAAATTAGCTGGGCATGGTGGCACATGCCTGTAATCCCAGATACTCGGGAGGCTGAGGCAGGAGAATCGCTTCAATCTGTGAAGTGGAGGTTGCTGGGAGCCAAGATCACATCATTGCACTCTAGCCTGGGCAACAACAGCGAAACTCTGTCTCAAAAAAAAAAAAAAAAAAAAAAAAAAAAAAAAAAACTGCAAATCAAAACCACAGTGAGATAGCATTTCATACCTGGGGCTGGATCCAAAAAGTCAGAAGATAACATGTGTGGCTCAGGATGTGGAGATACTGAAACTTTTATACACTGTGGATAGGAATGTAAAGTGATTGCAGGTGCTTTGGAAAAGGGTCTGGCTGTTCCTCAAACGCTGAAACATGGTTACCATTTGACCCAGCAATTCCACTCCTAGGTATATGCCCAAGACAAATGACAACATATGCCCATAGAAAAATCTGTATGGAAATGTTCACAGCAGCATTATTCATAATAGCCAGAATAACCCAAATATCCATCAATTGGTGAATGGACAAACAAAACATGGTATAACCATACAATGGGATGTTATTCAGCCACAGAAAGGAATGGAGTACTAACACATGTTCAAGGACACGGGCAAGCCTTGAAAACATCATGTTGAGTAGCAGATGCTAGGCACAAAGGACTACCTATGGTAAGACTCCATCTATATGAAAAGTCCACAACAGGCAAATGTAGAGAGGCAGAGAGTAGATGAGTGGTTGCCGAGGGATGGGGAAGAGAAGTTGGCAGTGATGCTAAGGGTTGTGGCATCTTCTTAGGGGATAATAAAATGTTCTATAATTGATTGCGGGGATGAATGCTAACCATACGAATATATGAAAAGCTACTAACTGTACATTTTGAATGGGTGAATTGTATCGGATATGAATTTTATCTCAATAAAGCTTTTTTAAAAGAACTCAACCACCACGAGCTCTTTGGCATGTGACTATTCTTTGACTGGCAGATAGGCAGGAATGGGGATGACTGCTAAACTATGTACTTTCTTCTTTTTCTTTTTTTTCTTCATTTTTCTTTGAGACAAGGCTTTTCTCTGTCACACAGGCTGGAGTACAGTGGCCTGATCAAGGATCACTGCAGCTTCGACCTGCTGGGTTTAACCAATCCTCCTACGTCAGCCTCCCACGTCGTTGGGACTACAGGCATGAGCCACTGTGAGTGGGTTTTTTTTTTTTTTTTTGGAGAGATGAGGTCTCACTATGCTGCCTATGCTGCTTCTGAACTCTTGGGGTCAAGCCATCCTCCTGCCTCCACTTCCCAAAGTGTTGGGATTACAGGCACGAGCCTCCACACCTGGTGTTACGTGCTTTCTGGTTTTCTTCTGAACGAAGTCTCTTTGAATCACTTTTGTCTTTCATCTTACAAAGGCTGATCATTTTGGGGAAATTAAGGCAGTTCAAAGGCAGCTCAATCAACCAAGGTCAGATAACCTGATTTCTCAAATGTTAATGTGCTGACTCTGGGTAGAGAGCTTATTGCTTTTCTCCTTCACACTGCCTGCTAAGATAGATCAGAGCTTGCTATGAGCCTCCACACTAGAGAAAGAGGAGCAGAGGCTGTAATCTACCACTAGCCAAGTCTATGACTTG